TGATTTTATACAACAATTCTGCGAAATAAAGAAAAAAGTCAAGCGAAGAAGCCAGAATATTGTAACAAATGTGATTTAATATTGACAGTTTCTTTGGCCAAAAATAGTAACTCAGCTCAGCTTTTCATTACTTGCCAGATGCATCTGAATGTCATTTTGTCCCAGCCAGTCTGTAAAGCATTTCAGCCCATCTTGTTTGCCAGATTGTTTAGTTGTTTAGTTTGTTTACTTGTTCCGCTGTCACAGCTGTCAACTGAAAAGCTTGTTTAGGAGCAACAACAGGTACACAATTTGACTTCTTCAGAGTCTGACCGAACGGCTGCAGGTTGAATATCATCTTATAGAAGTTATCTAATGTATCCATTTTCTGTTTTCATATGTGCTAACATAGAAAGTTAGTAATGAGTAGCTGCAGCATAAAGCGAGTCATTATATCGCGACCGGTGTTCAGTGGAGTGATACAGTTAACAGAACATAAAACCCATTGACTCGAAACGCAAGCAACGGACAATTGCCCGTTGACTTCTGTTATAAATATGTTTTAAAGCTTTGCAAAAAGGGATGATTACTTCATTAAAGGAATACTCCAGCATTTTTCAACCAGATCTCTCATTTTGTAGCATATGGTCAGTTACCACAGACAGTTTTGATACATTTTCATGGCATTTTGTCATAAAGAACAGAAAAGACTCTAAACACAGTTATTATAGAAACCAATGGGCAGATGCTGAAGCAATTTCTATAATAAATATTTTGGGAGAGGGCAGTTTTTGCAAAGCAACAGCCCATTGGCTGCTGTGTTTTGAAGAGTTTTTTTTCGGGGCGGGGGGCGGGGGCACAGTTTTAATGAAGCAACTGCCCATTGGCTGCTGTTTTAAATGTGTTTTGATGAGGTGAGGGGGGCAGTATTAATAAAGCAACTACCCACTGGCTGCTGTTATAAGAGTTTTCTAGTCAGTGGGTTTCCTATTCTTTTATGTAATTCTGTGTACATAAGCATATTCAAATTATCGTCTGTGGTAATCAACCATAGATAACAGATAAGATTAAAAAATGCTGACATATTCCTTTAATCGGCTGATTAGTTGTCTCAGGTGTGTCAGGGCAGGGAAAACACCAAATTATGCAGGACAGTGTTCTCCAGGATCAGGGTATAGAACCACTGAGCTCTGTAGAACTCCATGTATGCTTGTTGGTTCATGCACAAAACACATACGTGTGGTCCCTCACACACTTACACAGTCATTTATGGAGGTCTCAAATTCTTGTTCTCCACAGTGAATATTTCCTAGCCTCAGAACAATGTAAGTGCAGTGATGGCTGCATTCTTGGGTTACCAGGCTGAGAGAGCAGATAGCATAAGTATTTAGCAATGTCTGGAAAAATGAGCTCCAGGAGGTAGGCCTCTCTGTCCCTGATGGCGTGGCCAAGGGCCAAAGAGAGACGGAGAGCATCTTTAGAGACACGAAGTCATGCTCTGAGACACAAGCACAACTACAGCTGCTTACTGGAAAGCTAATATTTTCTGTGTGTGTGTGTGTGTGTGTGTGTGTGTGTGTGTGTTTGTGTGTGCACCCGCCAAAAAAAAAGTCTTCTACAAATTGCTCTTGGTTCAGAACCACAGACCGAAGCTGTGGTTGGCAATGGGTTGCATCTCTGCTTCTCCATTTATGTTTGGGTATTTCCCATTGTTTGCACATCTTTTATTTGTGTGTATTTTTTTAGGACGTCTAATCAGTGCAGCATGTTAAACCACTTGAGAAATGAGTTATGCTGGGTATATTAGGTCTTTTTACACTGGGCTGCCTTCTCATTTATGTAAAAAAAAGAAACTTGTGGTGTGGTACAGCAACGTATCTGCTGAACTACTGCTGTTATTTAGTATACACATAATGACCATAGTAAGTATTGCAGTACTGTGGAGATGTGACAACTAAGGTCAGGAAATTGAACCCTTAAGAGTTACAGACCAATTTTCTTGGAAATGCGAGTTCTAAAGCTTCAATTAATAGACAGTCCTTTACATTTTTGCCATATGTTGGCAAGAAGAAAAGATATTTTATTGTGATTTGAATTTGATGAAAATTTATTTTGTGTGCACAGTCTTTGTCATTTGTTCCATCAAAACAAACTGAAAAGTCTGCAGGACTCAGACATATCAATAAAGAATGTAACTTAAATGTAAATGTACACCAATGAGCCAGAACATCATGTCCACCTGCCTAATATGCTGTCATGTCCTTCACATGCAGCTGAAACAGCTTCAAACCATTAAGGTATGGTCTAGACCTCTGAAGGGTTCCTGTGGTGTCTGGTACCATGATGTTCACAGCAGAGCTTTTAAGTCCTGTAAGTTATGAGGTGGAGCCTCCGGATCGGACTTGCTGTTTCAGCAAATCCCATAGATGCTTGATTGAATTGATGCTTGATTGAATTGAGACTTGGGGAACTTGGAGGGGAATACTATGGCCATTAAGAGGTGTATTTGATCTGTAACGTTGTGTGGGTAGGTGGCACATGTCAAATTGATGCCCACATGAATGCCCAGCATCAGACTCCCTCCACTGGCTCGTCGTCCTGATGTACATCCAAATGCCATTGCTTCCACTGGTAAACAGCACGCACATACCCAGCTGTCCACGTGATGTAAAATAAACAGGACTCATCAGACCAGGCAACCTTTTTCCATTGCTCCAAGGTCCAGTTCTGACTCGCGCGTGTCCATTGTAGATGCTTTCAACAGTGGACATGGGTTAGCATAGGCACTCTGACCGGTCTGTGGCTGCACTGCTGCATACGCAGGAAGGTGTGATGCAGTGTGTGGTGACACATTTCTTCTATTGGTTAGGACAAGAGGGGATATCCTTTGCTGCCCTCGTACATTGATGACAGTATAGCAGAATGACAGTATAATTCTTGACTTACAGTTTACAGTTTACCATTTCGGTAATAATTGTTTTTGCAGATGTGACGTAACATTTCTTTGACCTTTTTGACCTCTTTAAATAAAATGTACCCCATCTAAGAAAGTAAACTCTTCGATAATGGAATGAACACTTAGCCTAGCTGTCTTTTGAGATGGATACATGTTCTGTATGGGACCTTGTAACATAACATCATAAGCAGTGGGGGGGTGGTTGCCTTGGGCTGCAGTTCCTATCAGACTAGCTGGAGGTGGTCATAGCATAGCCATCCATCCTCACTGTGAAAAGAGTGCAGTAGATGCCTGATTTACCACTCCCATTAAAAGCTGACAATTTCAGCCATGAAAATTGTTCCACTTCATATCAAAGCGATCTTCCACATTAAATTCCATGAAAACCTCTTTACCGTTGTTATTTTATGAGTTCCACAGACTTTTATTCATATTTCCTGGCAACAACTCATAGCTTTAACCTCAAGAACAAAATAACAATAAACAGGGAAACCCCCAGGTGATCATGTGCGAACGTTTGGGTGGCTGTTGAGGGGTTGGAGATTGGGTCTTAGATGGCATTGACAGACATTTAACATCCAAGAGCAAAATGCCTGTGTAAGAAAAAGCACTGGAGTTAATCAAGGGTTTATGAAACAAATTAAAACAATGAATGGTAGACAGGAAAAAGCCTTTTTGACTCTATGAAATGCCATAGGGGTTTCTGAGATCCTATCCAGTAGAAATGGTGTGCTTTGGACACCGCTGTGTTTTCATTGGTCATTTGTTGAAGCACAGAGCGCAATATCCGTGTTTTCATTGGGGAACTGAGCTTCCCACAAATAATTGTGAAAATAAACAATTCAAACCGTGCTGCATTTTCAGCAGCTCAAGGAATTTACCGTGCAATTCGCCTCACAATAAAACATTCAGTGGGTTTTGCATTTCTGGAGTCATTTGCTGTGTGTCCTCTCACATGTGCACAAACGCACTTACAACCGCTGTCTCCAATGGCTTTTCATTAGAGCACGAGGGATGACAGCACAATATATGACCTGGCTGAGGTTGAGGATTCTGGGGAAAGAAGTGGAATTTTGGAACTATTGATGGAACACAGTGCTGTCCACTGCTGGCTGGCCATGGAGGAACCCTTCATACAACGTGCTTGACTCAACTGAACCTACTCCTAGAGCAGAATTAATAACACCACTAATAACACTGCCAAGAACACTCAGGACAACTTTAGCCAGTGGTTTAACAAACTGAATTAGTTTTGTTGTGAGTTTTCTTTCTTGTGGGTTTGTATATATAAAGCCACGTTTCAGGACCTCTGTGCCCCATGTGCTACGTGTTAAAGTAAGAGTTGAGTGAAAAACCAAACTTAAACAACTTTCCTCTCACAGCACATTGCTAGAGGCCAACTTGAGGCTTTCATTTTAATTGTACTTTTGTCCATTTTTATAGATAATATGCCATACAGTGTCAGAAATCACATAAGGAAATCTATTTGAGTTCCCTTAAAGGGGTGTTCTTGATTAAAACTAACATTTAACCTATTGTTTGTCATGTCACATAATATTTTGTAGTACAACACTGCATCCTCAGCCCACCATTTTTAACAAAATCCACAATTCTGTATCCTCTTTGCGTTTTTTTGTGCCTCATTATTCTCTCACTACAATACTCAGCATGCATTACACAAATACACCATACAACCATTGTGAATCCCTCACAGAATTAAAGAAATCCTGCTAGTGTAAAGGCTCATAAATATAGACATGATATTCAACTTGATAGCAGCAGTGTTAGTTGTCCTACTTTCTTCTGCATTAGCCAGCAAGCAGGAAAAAAAACATTTAAAACAGCCCACCCTCTAATATTTGCCTCAATACCCTTGTAGTTTTAATCCGAAATTTAAAAGTCAGAGACCACCCTTCGTTTATTCAATTTCCTATCACAATGGCCATTAAGTACAAGTTATTCATTTTTCAGCATCAGGAAAAAAGCTGAAATATTTAACAGAAAATTACACTGAATTCTCAACAACCACATATAATGTTATTTTTTCATTATTTATTGCATCCACGCTTTGCCTTCATTACAGCTTCTGTTCTTTTCTGAAGACTTGCTTCCAGTCAAAAAAATCTGAAGGGATATTTTTCCACACTTACAAAGTTCAGTCTTAGAAGTTGGTTGCAATTTCTGCTTCTCGCAATCCACATGGTCCCGAAACCCATTGTGAGATGTTGAAGTTCTGGACTATGGGGTGGTCAGTCCATTGTTCTGAGACCACCCAGCAGCTTCTTTGTTTGATTTGCAGATCTTCTTCTTTGTCTGTTTCCTTTTCTCAATAACACCAGCAGCGTCTTTACAGCTACCCATCCTTTCAGACTCATAGTGTTGAGTTGTCTTATCACAGAGGAAGGATGGACAGAAACAGCTGTGATTTTTTTTCAGATCTGTAAGTAAGAGTGGAGTTGGATTTTCTTCTCTCTCTCAAAAATGAAAACTTTAAGTACAGTTTATATCTGGTGGTGACAGTTTTGAGGTCTACCAGGTCCTGCGTTGTTGTTCAGAATCCCATTTTCTCTATATCTTTTAATCACTTTTGAACAGTTTTGGAAACTCTTGTTTTTACACTTATTTAACTTTCCCCTTCCTGAAGCAAGTGGTTTATTTTTAATCTAATTCACTCAGAAATATCTCCTGAAAATGAATGACTATCGCTCAGACCTGTGCATCATCAGAAGGGGGGTTCCTAGTCTTTAAACTGGAAGACTTCACTCAAGAGACTACTGTGGCTCAGTATTAGTAACAATATTTAAAAACTCGACATGGTTAGAGGCATGTGTGTGATGATTTAAGTATGCAGTTGCATAGTGCTAATTAGTGATCATATGTTAGCTTCATTAGCCTCATAGCTCCTGTGCAAAACTGAAGAAGCAAACTTTGGACACCAAACACATCTTGGCCAATTAGCTAAATTTGAGTTAAAGGGAGAGTTGTGTAAATACTTTATGGAAAACAATGTTTTGGTGTAATTCATTGCCATAATGAGCCTTTGCATTTTTGCTCCGCAAGCCCTGTTTGCAAACGTCCATGAGAGCAACCAAAACCTTTCATAGTGTGACATTAACCCAACAAAATGCAGCTGATACCATCAGCTCATGTGGATGACATTGATGGAAAACATATTCATTGGGTAAATGTGTAGTGAGCGATATACCAGTTGAAACTCTTTACAGTACTAGTTTTGTCATCACCATTATACCTGCAAATAAATGCAGATAATGCAACAGGGCAAAACACACTGATTTCTTCATCCCTCGTGTGGTGAGTTTCAGTGAGAGGTAAGTTAGTCCAGTTTATTGGAGCAGACATTGGATTGTACTGAGTTAATGAGTTAACAGGGAAAAGAAAGAGGAAGGAAAAGCCAGTCTCTTGGGGTTAGCTGCTAGCCATTTGCCTTGCATGGAGATTAGCCAGCTTTCTGTGTGCACCACCTATGGCACTCCTCGCTTGGCCCACTGCTTCAGGCGATGCCGTGGTCATGGCCTACAAGCCGAGGGGCTCCACATCTTCTCAGCTAAAACCGATAATGTGAACAGCTTGTAATATTTACTAGATTCCAGCAGCATCTGACACTCGTAGATCAAAGATCAAACGAGTGTAGGAGATGCACATATGAGACAAATGACTTTTGGATGTAAAACAACATTCAGCAATGTTTTTGCCAGGCTCAGAGAAAATGTTGTGGGCTTTACACACACTTGCCTTTATCTCATTAGGGTTAGAAATATATTATATATATATATATTGTTAATTTATTTTTTTTCACCCAATTAAAATATTTTAGATCTACTTCATTTGTTGTGAAGGGACATACAGAATAATATGCAATTGTTAAATCTACAAAATAGGTTTACTTAAGCATTGTTAAGCAAAATGGTTTTATTAAAAACAAAAAATATAAATAAATACACTATACTGTGATATATAGCTACACCATCAGTAATGTTAATTTTACCATGATTCAAATGTGTGCCCATACCTCCCACTACTAGGGTAAAGGTAAGGCTCCTTAAACTTATCCACCTAATTTGATGGTTATGTAATAGCTGCTAGAGACCCTTGTGCATTTTTGTGAGAATATGTTCTTGGATTTTTCACTGAATTGACTGAATTGACCCTTCAAGTCAGCAGCAAGGGATACATAAAATAGACAGTGTAGTTGGAGTCACCATTTAACTGTTTAAATCCTGCAAAAGTTGAAAACAACAGCAGCACAGACCCGCCCAGGACTTGAGAAGGCCTGAACCGTCCTTGTGAAGGCAGAAGCACAATTCCTGTGTTGTCAGACTGCGGGGATCATAAAACCATACACCAACTATGCAGCGTTCTTGGTTGATGAATACAGTGTTTGCCTTGGAATTATTGTAAAATGATTGAGAAGAGAAAAACCATCCCAAATTCCACAGTGAATTACAGAGTATATTCACATTTCAGATGGTACAGTTTATGATTTAAGTGTTGTTAAAGCTGTGCTCATGTAAAGGCCTTTAGTCATGAATCTGTGTGTCTTTACCTGCCATGTCAAAAAAAGGCTGATAATAACAAGGTTGTAGTCCAGTGTTGAATACATCAAGGGTGGTTATTTTTAAGCAAAAAGCAAAGGAAGGTCAGGGTACATGGACAAGATGCCAAATGTGGCTGTTTACATGAAATGTGGAGATTACATGGGCCATGTAATTTTACATTAGTCATGTCAAAGTATCCAAAGTAACCCTTCTCTCTGAATTGGCATATAGCAGGTTGATTAACCCCTAAAACAGTTAGGGACTTGTACGTATACCCACACTGTACAATGCTCCGCCTGTGTAGGCTTTCTTTGTACCAACAGTTTCTCAGTTGGACAAGCTTTAAAGAACGTTAACATAAATCTCTAGTTTTAAATTTAGATTCATTACATATTTCTCAGTTTCCACTTTAAAAAAGCTACACTACAAAGCTGGGTTGTGTTGTAGCAAATCATAACTAAGTAGGTTAGAAATGACTGAATTTGCCACCACAATAGCGACAGCTTAAATATACAACAAAACACTACATTTAGTGTATCCTAACAGTGTGACCCTTTACATACATCCAAAGTATATATCGTTTAAAATTAATAACACAGTCCAAATTTTTATTTTATTTTATTTTTTCTTACAAAAACTGAGTTACAGGCCACAGTTTCTCATTAGATTTTGCCACCATTCAATAAATCTTGGCCAACCTTGCAACAGTTGTGGAGGTTTATGGGCAGAGCATGGATAGGTCAGTTCCTCGTTCTCATAACTACATTAACTACGCATTACTCAATAATTTATGGAAGTTACTGAATACTAAGTCTCATAATCAATAACCGAATAATAAGCGTACAGCTTAAAGGGTTAAACCTAGTCATCCCCATCAGAGGCAACTATATACTGACCGTTCTCCACTGAACTCCATGTCTGTGGCCTAAACTCGGAGCACATGTTTGCGAGGCTGGCGAAGGCCCAGACCAGAGCTCTATTCTGCCCCTGGCAGCGCACAGATTAGGCCTGTAATTACAGGCCTGGGTTTGGACCGGGCTTTGTTTGAGAAAATGGAGAGAGGTGGTGGTGGTGATGGTGGGGGGAGTGATGTCATCTCTGGTTTGGAACAGTGCAGCTTGCGATCACAGCACTGGTGTTGGCTTACTGCAACACTAAGGAACGAAGAGAGAAAGAATGAGATGAAAAAAGTGTTTAAGATGCAGTATGAGGAAGGACGTTAAGGTGCTGTATGTGCAATGGACCAGATGTTAATGGTGTGTTAAAAACAACTTGTACTGTACATCTATGAGTCTAGTTATAAGGCAACTAATGTATAATTTACTTAAAAGGCCAATTTTTCACTTCAGACTAGGCTGTCGTGCAGCTTATTTTCCATATATGGACTGAGGAGTGAATGCTATGATTTGAAACTATGATTTGGTACTACATCAAACACTTATTTCACAATAGTGAAGAAAATTCTTCATGAGAACCCCTGAAGATTTTATTTCAGAGACTTGTGACACAGAACGAGTTAAAACTGACGAACACAAAAAGTGTTTTGTTAATTAAAACATCATTTTGGAGCGTGTGGTAAAGTTTCTTTGTGGGTGAAAGATTTGCTCATAGTACAGCTGACTGAACTGTCAAAAGCCCATGCAGAATGCAAAACGTTTCCACCCTCCATCCAAGGCCTAACCAGAACGAACGTCCAGAAAAAGACTCTCTCGCGCTCTTTCTTTTTTTTTAACAGTCTGTTGCAGTCACTGTTTTATGAGACATTGTTAAAAAATGTGGGCACACAGAGAATTTATATAGCAATCCCACTTTATTTGTTATCCTTTCTTTTGACAATATTTGGACGAAACGGGTCCCAATTCGGAGCGCTGTTAAAACAACAGAGATTAAGTGCACTTGGGTAATCTCTTCGCTTCTTGAGGGGGATAGAGCACTCTGCCCATGTAAACTTGTGGAGTGGGGCGGAAGGGGAGGCAGTTGGCTGAAAGCAGGGGTATTGTAACGTGAGCTGTGTTGGGGGAATAGTGCAGAGGAGCGTTCACGGCCCTCCTCTTCAATCTCTTTATCTGCTCTAATCCACAGCCGTGATTTGCTGAAGAACGGCAATGGATAGTGACAGGGTGAGGAAATGAACGAAACGATGAGAAAGAGAAAGGCACGTCAGGAAACATGCCACAGGAAGCACTCTACTGTACCTGACAGGAGTTTTTTTTCATTCTCTCTAACTGCTCTCTCTCACTCGCCTCTCCCTCTCTCTGTGTCTCTCTCTCTGAAGGACTGCTCCACAGCCACCCTCTTCAGTCTTTTTTTTTATAATGTTCCGCAGATTTATCTGCATTAATGGAAATCCTTTAAATGAAACACTGACAATGTCTCTTTAAATGTTACATAAGAAAACCACATTCAGGAATGTGATGCTGTTTGACTGATAACCTAACATGCTGTTGGGTGCCAAGTTAATCTGAGCCTCAAATGCTCCGCCCACAGAGTTATGCAGGCCATGCTGATATTTACTCTTTGCTCAGATGGCCACAATTGCAATTTTGTCAGTTGTTTGGCTGTCCGCACTGCTGTGTTTATATACATGACCAAAAATATGTGGAGACCCTTCCTACTTATTGAGTTCAGGTGTTTCAGGCACACCTATTGCTAACAAGTGTATAAAATCTTGTGCCGAGCCATGAAATCTCCATAGACAAATGTTGGCAGTAGAATGAGTCATACTGATGAGCTCAGTGACATTAAACATGGCACTGTCATAGGATGCCACAAGACAGTTTGTGAAATTTCTGGCCTGCTAGATTTGCCAGTCAACTGTTCTATTATTGTGAAATGGAAGCAACAACAGCTCAGCCATGAAGCAGTAGCAGCATGTAGCATGAAAAATCATCTACCCTCTCTTGCATCTATAACTACAGAGTTCCAAACTGTCTGTTGAAGCAACATCAGCACAAAAACTGTGTGTTGGGAGCTTCATGAAGTGGATTTCCATGGCTGAGCAGCTGCACACAAGCCTAAGAGCACTCTGGAGCAGTGGAAACATGTTCTCTGGAGTGATGATTCACACTTCAGTATCTGGCAATATGATTGATGATTCTGTGTTTGACAGATGCCAAGAGATCACTACCTACCAGCATGCACAGTGCCAACAGTAAAGTTTGGTGGAGGAGGGATAATAGTCCGGGGCTGTTTTTCAGGATTTGAGCTATATCCTTTAGTTCCAGTGAAGGGTCATGTTAATGCTACTGTGTCCCTTTGCATAAAGTGCAGCCCATAAAGGCATGTATAACGGGCTTTAGAGGAAGGCCTACGCAGAGCCTTGACCTCAACTGCACTGAAGACGTTAGGGATGAATTGGAACATTGATTGTGAGCCAGGCCTTTTTGTCCAATATCAGTGCCTGACCTCACAAATGCTCTTTGACTGAAAGGGCACAAATTCTCACAGATATGCTCCAAAATCTTGTGGAAAACCTTGCCAGAAGAGTGGGTGCTGTTATAGTCACAAAGAGGGGCCAGCACCATATTAATGCCCATGGTTTGAGAATGGGATTTTCAACAAGCTCATATAAGTGTGATGGTCAGGTGTCTACATACCTTTGGCCACATAATGTACTTCTGTGCACCACTTTTATCAATCTGATGATAAACAAAGTTTTGTTTATCAAGTCAGATGCTGTCTACAAGTAGCAAGCAGTTGCCAGCCACGTGATGAGTTACATGCCACGTGATGCAGCGTCAATAAAAACTGACACAAAGTGAATCCCAGCACTTTGCAATTTCTCTGAGCACAGCAGCGCGATACGCCACTCATTATTTTGACCTTCATCACATTAATGCTATCAGTTAATGGCATTAAACCCAGAACGAGTCAACAAACAGCCATAATAGATCACACGTGGCATGAAATTTACATGGAGAAAGACAGCAAAGTCTTTTAGATAAACTGACAAATACAACAGACAGAAGTCTTTTACCTCAGCCAACTTTACAGCCTAGTTTTTCAGCTTGAACACAGCCAGTTTATGAAAAGTTAGTTAGCTGATAGCATGATACATTCATAACTTACATTATTATTGTATGATATTATTATTTATATGAGTAGAGTATAAAAATGAACTTGAAATTGCCATTTACTGAATATTTCACTGCAACACATTGTGTGCTTTGTACTGTATCTGTGACGCAACACTGCGCAGCAGTCCAGTGTGCAGTGACCTTTATATATCTTTGCTAACAAAAACATGTTTGTTGAATTCTGGTACGGTATTACATTCATTCACTCTGTGTTCATAGCTGTTGCAGATTTAAAGTTAAAACAGTCTAAAGTTTCTCAGCAGATGCACCTGACCTTTTAAACCAGGGTGATGTGGCTTGGTGAACTAGATTTTACAGGTACTTTATGAGTTCGGACCGGGCGAGTTTATAGTTTATCCAGGGGAGGAGTCTAACGTTGCCATTTTGGTAATTCACACATTTCACCTCTTTTGTGTTGGGGACTCTGCTTAGCCAGTTTAATCCGTTTCCTCTCTTTTTTGCATGCCAAATTTGAAAATTCTGTTTTTGCCTGCTTTATTTGTTTATAGCCTGTTTTGTGTTTGGTCTTCCTTTTTTAACCTGTGTTCGTCTCTGCTTCATTAGCCAAGACTGACACACACAATAAATTCATAATTTTATGATAACAGTCATTACAATCCTTTTAGTAAAGCACTGTTTATCTAAAATTACTGGATGCATGTTTAATTTTTGACTGTGTAAAATTATTTTGGCTCATATTATCAGTTATCAGAGTTTTAAACTCCTTGAAATCAGTACTGGTGAAGCCTAACTCTGTGTGCAATGAGTGTGTGTGTGTGTGTGTGTGTGTGTGTGTGTGTGTATTAGATAGAAGGAAAAGAGAAGTGGGAGGGAGAGCAGATGAATGGAACATTTGACCCTTGTACTCTGTGCAGTTGAGGAAACAGTGGTGACCTTGAGAGGGGTCAGAAATCTCCTGTTCTGGACTGTCCACTCACAATCACACTCTGTTTCTCTCCCACAGTCTGTTGTCCGGGCCTTTCTGTCTTTCTCTAGCTGTCTGTTGACTTTTCATGACCCCAGCCTCTCTCAATCCAGTTTAGAATCATGTTTATTTTATTCAGTAATAACTTATACATGGCAGATTTATACATAATAAATAAAAATATTAAAAAGGTGATTTAAGACACCTTTGTTTTTATTATTTAATACTTCCAGTGCATATATCCACTTCAAATCTACTTACTGTCCTTATCATTTGTCTGAGAGAAATCTTGCATGATGCACCTGCATGAGGACGATTCATTGTGGTTCCATGAACTTTCCAACTGCATATAATCAAACCTATTGTACCAACAGGAGTGTTTAACATCATAAGTCTTTTCTAGGGCTCTGTAGCTTTTTTCCATTCACATATTGTAATGTTGTCCTTGAGATCTTTAGAATGCTCCTTCTAATGGCAACCCCCTTTATAATGTCACCAGCTGTCATTTTTTAAACATTGTTATTATTATATTTACTTATTTATTTTGTTTCCAGTGTTAATATGTAGAACTTGATGTATTTTTATTATTATATGTTATTACATATTTTACAAAGAATTTATATTGTATGGGGCGGCACAGTGGCGCTATCAGCTCACAGAAAGAAGGGCCTGGGTTCGATTCCTGGCCGGGTGACCAGGGTCTTTTGTGTGTGGAGTTTGCATGTTCTCCCTGTTTTTGTGTGGGTTTCCTCCAGGTTATCTGGTTTCCTTCCACAGTCCAAAGACATGCAGTCAGGCCGATTGGACACGTTAAGTTGCCCCTAGGTGTGAGTGCATGTGTGAATGTGTGTCTGTCTGTCTGTATGTCTGCCCTGCAATGGACTGGCGACCTGTCCAGGGTGTTTTCTGCCTTCCGCCCATTGACTGCTGAGATAGGCTCAAGCTCCCCCTGCGACCCAGAAGGATAAGTGGCTTAGAAGATGTGTGTGTGTATTGCATGTACTTTTTATTTACATATGTCTTTGTTTATGCTTATGAGTACTTACTTTTTTGCTCATATTTATAAGTACAAAGATAAAAGACGTTTAAATTTGAAATGCATGTATGCACTTGAGGCATTTAAAATATTGATTTTAATCATAACTTCAGTCTTAATGTTGTACAACATTCTCATTTTAGAATCATCTACAGATTTGTTTATCATTCTGGACACATCTAACTTTTATTCATTTTACAACTTCCTGCAGTTTATTTGAAACTTATGTGTTAGCATCGTAATAGAACTGTTTCACTCATATGTCTGCAACAAAATAAGGTTTATATTACTGAAACTTTTGAATAGTGATTCAAAGTGCATATTTGCTCGTTCCTCTTGTTTATGCTTTTCTCTGCCACTCCACCAAAGTCAATTACTCCACCAGCTCCACCAACCCACATTCGGCCGATGGTAGGCCTGTCACGACAGTGAAATTTTATTTAAGTCTTTTTTTGTTTACTGTATGTGACATATATGAGCCTAAAGTGGTCAAATTCATTTATTAGCTATCTTGCTTCTTAACTGTCGACACTTAGTAGCTCCCAACTGATGACAGCTGATGCTTTAGCCACAGTTAGACATTAGAACTTTTGTTGTTTTTTGTGACGTCTTAATAAATGCGTCTTCTGCTTTCGTTAATTTTACATGTATTTGCTTCAATACAACTGATTAAATATTGTACTCGATTCACATTCTGTTTGCCACGACATTAACATACAATTGTGAAAGTTAACAACTGTGGACAGAAAACTGCGGTCAGCCTAAATAATTGCAATCATGTGATTATATAATCATTGTGGCATTCTGATCCACTTACAGTGGGGTTCAAAAGTGAGACCACATTGAAAATCTGGAATTTTCAAATTCTGGTTAAATGAAAACCTGGAAACAAACAACAGAAAGTTTTAGACTGTATACTAATTTAAAACAAGTAAAAGTTACAACAAGTAAAATGAAGAGGACATATTACAGGTTGTGCACTATTTCTAAGTCACTATTCAAATTTAAGCAGTTGACCATGTTGAGGCATTTGTACAAAAAGGTCATATTTTATTTTGAGTCTTTTCTCTTCCAGTGAAGCAAGTGTTCGGACGACTCTCAGGTGAATTTGATCTACTTATCGGAGGCTTTTGCACAAGCTTGTGGCGTCCGTTCCAGCTTGAGTGCACGCTGTCGTGAAAGCAAAAGAAGGACATACAGTACCAAATTCTGAAATGTATGTAAATCTTTACATGAAATATTTTTCACTGAAGTTGTTATGCTGATTATATAATTTGTGATATATAATATATAATGTGTGAGAGATGCATTCAGGAGTGCGAAGGTGTGACACAAGCTGAGAGTGGGCACAGACAGTGATATATATATATATATATATATATATATATATATATGTTACTCTGGTGTTTAAACAGTGCAGGTGTACAGTCTAAATCTCAGAGTCCTGATTGAAGCAGAGAAACAGAAGATGTTGTTTGTGCATGCATGTGATGCAATCGAGGGTGTTTTCAACCACTAAACCTGATTACACTAAATGCTTCCCCTTAGAAATGATCCTCCATTAGACCAAACAGGAGCCGAAGCAGAAACCCAGTGTTAAACTCTATTAAGTGGAACCAGAGAGAGAAAAAACCCCAATGAAAACAATGGAAAACACACAGACTCTATCAGAGCTCTGGCTCAGCCGGCTGGGTCAAACTCACTCTTTCCATGTTATGCTTTACTGACCGAGGAACCAGCTCCAGTCTCCAGTCTCTCTCTCTCTCTCTCCCTCTCTCTCTCTCTCATGCTCTTTCTTTCTTTCTATCTCTCTCTCATATGTTCTTTCTTTCTTTATTTCTCTCTCTCTCATGCTCTTTCTTTCTTTCTATCTCTCTCTCTCATATGTTCTTTCTTTCTTTATTTCTCTCCCTCTCATGCTCTTTCTTTTTGTCTCTCTCTCTGTCTCTTTTCTTCTCTCTCCTCTCTTCCCTTCTTTCTTTCTGTCTCTCTCTCCCTTTCTCTCTGCCTCTCACACTTTTTCTCTGTCTGCTTTTCTCACTCTATTTTTCTCCCTCTTTTTGTTTTCTCTTTCTCTGTGTCCCCTCTCTATTACTCATTCTCTCTCAAAATCTTTTTCTTTCGCTCTTCTCTCTCTGTATCTCTCTCTCTTTCTTTCTCCCCCTCTCTCACTAACTCATTCTCTTAATTCTCAGTCTTCTTAATCTTTCTGTTTCTCTCTCGCACTCTCTCTATCTGTCTTTCTTTCCCCTTTTTCTCTCTCTCTCTCTAACTCATTCTCTCTGTTAGCTTCTTTTTCTCCCTTTTTCTCTCTCCTGCTCTTTCTCTCCTCTCGCTCTCTCTCTCTCTCTCCTTGTCATTCTTCTTCAGAGGAAAAACTGAGCAGGCAGGAAAGTGACGAGATAAAAAAAAAAACTGGAGGATGAACAGAACAGGGGCATTTTTCTTCTTTTCCCCTCCCGCTTTCTTTTTAAGAAAAAAGAAAAAGCCAAACGCTCAGAGTGTTCTGGAGCTGGATGCCATCTGTCATTGGTTTTGATGCATGAGGTCAGCGCGTAGGAGAGGAAGACTATTACAACAACACGGACACACGACCGGACGGCCGTGCGGAGCACGTGAGCGATTAAAAAGCAAGAGCAAGCCAAAAAAGAGAGAAAGGAGAGAGAGAGTCAGAGAGACAGAGAGAGAGAGAGAGAGAGGACGAAAGAGTTTAAAGAGAGGAAATCCTTCTTTTGAGGTGAAAAAATGGACTGTCCGGTTGAAAGTGGTGCTAACGCAGGGGTGTGGTGTTGTGTTACAAAAGGCAGAGAAAGCAAAGGGGCTTTTCCACACTGTGCTCTGCTGCTGTGCTGGGGTTACTGCAGGGTGGTCCATTGTTTCAAACTGAAAACCCACCTGCTCACCACAATACTTACACTGTATTTATACACTAAAACAACAGCTGTATACATGATGATTTACGTGAACTTTGTGAACCTGCTCTATAAGAGTGAACTCTCACTCTCTACCTCTTTGTCTCTCGCACTGAACCACCGACTCACCTCACTGACTGATTACAGCGAGCTGTGATATTGAACTGTATTCTTGAGCTGTTCCTCATAATGACCTCCACATTTTCAGAAAAAAGGGGCTGAACTGTCACTGGGGTGCTTGGCCGGACTGTGGTCTTACAGGCCCCTGGGCTCAAGACCTGAAGAGTGAGATTAAACTCTGTCTCATGGTTATGTACCCTTTGAGCAATGCTGAAAATTCATTTTTTGTTTTGAAAATACAGTTTCTCAGTCGCTTTTGTCCATTCAGAAGTCACATTCTCAAAAGATTTCACTCACAATGCTAAAGAGAAAACTGCTGGTCATAATATCACAAAATGAACACAAAAACACAGTTGCTGAACACAAATGAGTGGCACGGTGGCACAGTGGGTAGCGCTGTCACCTCACAGCAAGAATGATCTGTATTTGATCCCCCGGCCGGGCGATCAGGCTCCTTTCTGTGTGGAGTTTGTTCTCCTCGTGTCTGCGTGAGTTTCCTTCCACAGTCCAAAGACATGCAGTCAGGCCAATTGGAGATGCTCAATTGCCCCTAGGTGTAAGTGTGTGTGAATGTATATGTCTGTCTGTTTGCCCTGAGATGGACTGGCGATCTGTCCAGGGTTTATCCTACCTTCTGCCCAATGACAGCTCCAGCTGATAGGTTCCAGCTCCCCCTGCGACCCAAAAGGATAAGCGATTTAGAAAATGTGTGTGAACACAAAACACAAAATAAAGGTTTCAGTTTTAACGTATTGAATGACAGAAGGTGGAAGAAAGACCCAATTTAAATCTCTCACTTTATGTTTCTCTCTTTCTCTCTCTCTCTCTCTCTCTCTCTCTCTCTCTCTCTCTCATTGTTTCTCTATATGTCTCTGTCTCTATATATGTCTCTCTCTCTCTCTCTCTCTCTTTCTTTCTTTCTCTCTCCCTCACTGTTTCTCTAAATCATTTACTCTCTCTATTTCTCTCTCTCTCTCTCTCTCTCTCTCTCTCTCTCTCTCTCTCTCTCTCTCTCACACACACACACACACACACACACACACACACACACACAAACTCTGTCTCTGTCTCTCTCTCTCTGTCGCTCTCCGCCTCTCTGCCTCTCTCTCTCTCTCTCTCTCTCTCTCTCTCTCTCTCTCTCTCTCTCTCTCTCTCTCCCCTAGTCAGCTGACTTACCGGCTGTTGTTTTTGACACTAGCTGGCTTTGACCTTTCACCTCTCACCTCGCTATCTGTTCGCTGACACACAAACACGACCCAACATGACAAAATCTAAGAATGACTTTACTCAGAAACACGTCCAAAGTCCTCACACACAGACAAACACACGCAGACAAACACACACACACACACACACACACAGACAGAATAAGCCTTACTGCCGGTGTTTGGCGGTGTTATTATTTAAGTTCAGTGATTATCCCCAACTGACCTCTCACTGAACACTATACCTCGACGGACATGAAGTCAAAGTCAATTACTTTTCCTCACATTTTATCCTGTTTCTCATTTGAAGTCTATGACTATGATGTTCCTGATGATGGCACAATATAAACAACAGCCCTCCTGGGTCCCCCATGGCTTATATGGCTTGAAATGCCGCTTTTTACATTTTACTTAACAGAATCTTACTTGTAGTGTATTGAAACAGAGAAATGCCTTTGAGAGTGTGGATTCCTTAACACTTTCATGTTTTATTATGATTTATTATGGATGAACAGTTGTGTGTACAGGCTAGCTTGCAGAAAGAAAAAGCATTTACATTTTTGCTGTGTTTTTGTCAAACTGAAATGTTTCAGAAGTGTAGACTGGAACCAGTAAGTGCAGAATGTAAATGAAATGAAATGAAAATGAAAATGAGCACTATTTATAATAATTTTACATATGAGTAATTAGACTGCATAGCAAAACAATATTAATAGCTACACTTTTAAGTTAAAGAAGAAAAGGTGCAAAGTAGATTCATTATTTCTTTCTTATTGCACCATTTCTGGTCTCACTTTATTTGGATAGTCCACTATAGTCTCTTATAGATTATCTACAGATGTTCAAACTGTTATCAAGCTATCTGTTGACACTCAGTTGATTCTAAACAGTGGTGGGGTTAGGGTTAGGATTTGGACCAGGGTTGAGGGTTTATAGCCGGGTTTAGAGTTAAAGAAAATTATTGTCAATTTATTAGATATTTGGTTGAATGTAACTTGAAAAGCATCTAAAGTGGACTATCCAAATAATGTGTTACTCCATATATATCTTGTGACAATTTAACTTCTTGCTGAACAGAGAAAACGTTGAAGGAGAAGGAAGCAGTGAACTGTCAATACTGTTTGCATTGTAAGTAAATGAGCAATGAATCAATATAAGACTGCTGCCCATTATCACAAAGTCTGATCTGCATTATTCCTCAGACTGCAGTGATGAGTAAAAGATGAGCTGTAAATGAATTGTGTGTTAGCAGTGATCGACAGAGAGGGATCAGAAACCCAAACCTCTGCAGGAGGGTCAGACAGAACGGCAGTTTGGCTATTTTGTTTGTTTTGCCCTCCAGACATGGTCGGTGAGGAGATTAAGAGATTTAGCATGGCTCAACCCTCAGCTCATCAACATACTCCAGCAAGTAAACAAATAAACAGTTAATAAACAAGCTTATAACAAAGACCTGGCTGGAAGATCCCCACAGGCTTAAATCGCAATATATAATGTGTTTCTTGATGAAGATGCAGACTGATCCATTGTGAAACGAGGCTATGCTGACTGTGTGTGTTTTTTGTGCACTGTGAGGACAAAAATGCTCTGATGATGTTGAAAAACCTAAAAAAAAAGTTTGCTATCAGAAAAAAAGTCTTGGCAAGATATAAAGCTTTTTACCAAAGCTATGTTCATTTTTTTACTAGGTTTTCTCCCTAATTTAATCAGGACCAATTCCACTCACTAGGTGTCCCCCTAGCAAGACCCTACTATCTAAAAAGACAGATTTGTGTTCAGATACACTGCAAGATTTTGATTATTTTTATAGTTCACAGTAGGTCATACTGCGTCCTAAACCACATCGAGCAGTCTGGGGGGTCTTAATCGAGTTCTGGATGCAGTTTGAGTGGCTTGAGAGAAGTTTTGGTGATGTATTTATGGAAACTACTCAGGCTGTTTGGGTGCCTATTAAATTCTAGTATTTGTTAGAAACATTAGCGTCTCAAGTTGTAAGCTAGAGAAGCAAAATAATTTGGACTCTAAACATGTCTTGCCTCATTGACTGCATCTGGGGTAAGTGGAAAATTGGGTAAATTAGATTTTTCAGCAAAATATTCCTTGAAAGCTAAAACGTGCTTCCTCTGAGACACGTGAGGAGGAGAATGCTAACTGCCAATTAGCTAAAAGGCACCCTTGCTAGCTAGAATCATGCTGAGTGATGAGGGACAGGCAGAACCATCTTACATCTTACCCACCCAGAAAGAGTGAGGCCAGATATGCTGTCTTGGACACCCGTCCATGGATGGCTGTAGCATCACCAGAGATCAAATCACCTAGCAACACTTGGACAGGTTTCATTTCTTAAACCTGAAAGCTGATATATTTCTTTTTGGTTATTGAAATGAATGTTAGAGTTAGAGTAGAAAATTATGACATATAGGTACTAATATACAACTCCATTTCCAAAAATGTTGGGATGCTGTGCAGAATGTAAATAAAAATAGGATGCAAATTTTATTGTTTTTTTGAAAAATATATGCTCATTTTATTTATCAATTTACATAGAGGTACCCCATTTAATAGCACCGGATGCCCTTTGTGAACACTCCATGAGGCATCGACCAACAAAAACCAACAAAATAACTTCTTTTTTTTCTTGTCCATTTATCCTTCTCTATGTTGGAGATTTTGGAGTGTTTTGGATATATAACACATATGGAAACATACAATACATTATTACATATATAGTTACATGTATGTAATACACATGCAACATATTCATTACATATAAGTACTTGCCTAAATAATACACTGGGAACATATTTGTAAATATAAGTAGTTACATATGAAGGGTTTTGTTCCCAAATGCATTGGAGCACTATCATGTATTTTGTTTTTTTCATGATTCAGATATGTTGTTGGGAGTGGGCTTTACACATACAAGAAATATCAGTGTTGTATTATAATTGATACCACTTTTATTACAGAAATTAAAATTAGTTTATAAAAAGGACAATTCACCTAAACTGTTATTTTTTTCAACCTCTTTATTGTTATGCAAAATTGTTATGCACAGCCTTTTGGAATTAAACTCTTCATATATGTAAGATCTCAGGTACTGACAAGATATAAAAACAAAAAGTAAGTGTGTAGTGCTGAGACAAACCATCCCATAAACACAGGCAGCTCATCCTTCTCGTTTCTACAGCGTCTCTGAGTTCATTTAGACGCATTAGGGACGTTTCCTCTGGCTGAGAGGAGAGTGTCATTCAGGACAGAGGAGTCTTTTTAACCAGCAGCGTGCTGCACATAGACACCCAAACACTGTCATCAATCAATACTGATTAAAAAGGAAGGAGGATAACAGATGATGCCCTTTCTACACACGCACACACATACACACAAAACCACTCTTTACCCTCGGCTCCCCTCCCCGCCCACACACACGCCCTGCCACGCGAAAAGGCTTTTGTATGTGTGTGTGTCGTTGGTGGGGAGGGGGTCATGGGGGGTGGGGATTGTGGCGGTGGGGAGGGGGATTTCAGGGAAGTGGAAGTCCACAACGCCAAGCTCAAATGCAGAGGCAGTGTGTGTGTGTGTGTGTGTGTGTGTGTGTGCGTGTGTGTGTGTGTGTGTGTGTGCATGTGTGTGTGTGTGTGTGTGTGTGTCTGTGTGTGTGTTTTATGCATTTTCAGGACAAAAGTGTCCTGACTGTGGAAAAAAAACAACAGAAAAATTGAGTTAACCTACAAAACATAAGCAACATGCTTCATTTTTTTAAACTGAAAGGACAGAATCACACCTGCTTGTTCACTGAAGTTATTGTTAGTGTTAGAATTAGGAAATTCTTTTAAAAACATAAATACTTACATATGGGGCACATATGTGCATGTATATTAATGTATTTATATTGTTACTGTTCCAAAAAAAGAAAAAACACACAAAACCCCAAGTACCTCCAAATGGGAACTTAGCAGGAGAAGAAACTTTCTTTACTTGTAATGTTTAAATGTAAGATTTCTTTTCAAGCAATTTTGGACCATTTTTATTGGTCTATTCGTCATGAAAGTTTGATACAATGTAAAGGACACTCTGCTCAAATGATGCAGTAAAAATGGAGATATATGCTTTTTTTGGACAGTGACTAAATGTATCTGTATATGTATATGTGTATGTATATGTATATGTATGTGTATATGTGTATTGTTTCTGACAGACCAAAACATCGTGTCTCCAAAATATGATATATCTGAGATACAAAGTTTAGTTCTGACAGTGACAATATATATATTTATTATTTATAATGAATACATATATTGTGTATATGTATATGATCACTGTTCAAAAAAATCCCAAGTATCTCCATTTTTTCAATTTCTATGTTTCTGCTTCATCTGAGCAGAGCTGCTGTTCTTTACATTGTGTGAAAATTTCATGGCCAATGGATTAGTACAGATGTTCCAAAATTGCTTGGAATAAAATCTCTTTAAATTAACTTACATTAAAGGAACATTTTTTTGTGTTGTCCTGTAAATCTACCATTTTTAAATACTACAATGATATGCATCTGTACATATTTACAGTACTGTGTAAAAGTCAGTCATGAAAATTGTTTAAAACTCTTTATCTTGGCTTTAAGTGTTTTTTTCTTGCTAGTAAA